CGATATGCCCGAAGCCCTAAGTCTTCATTTAACACCCTTTTCACCGTGGTTTTGCTTAACCCCATCTGAAGGGCCAACAGTTTCTGCTTACGTTTGGGATTTCTTTGAATTCGCGCCTTCACAGCTTTTATCACTGCTGGAGTCCTAACAGACCGAGGGCGACCACTTCTTGAACTGTCATCTACACTAGAGTCTTCATTGTATCGTTTGATGGTACGATAAACGAATCTTTTGGTTATATTAAATTTTTTCAGTATGTTAAAAATTTGAATTGGCGCGTAACCGCAACGATGCAACGCAATAACTGCAACACGGTCTTCTTTAAGCGTCTACTCCATATTTAAAAAGGAGTAAAATTCTAAAAGTATACATTTTTATTTTCATGAACAATTCGAAATTCGAATTCAATAAACTTTTTTGTGGCCAGCATTCTAAAAGAAAAGTTTTTACTGTGTGACAATACTTATGACCTGACTAGTTATATATGAAGTCGTCGTGGCCTAATGGATAAGACGTCCGGTGCATTCGTGTTGAGCGATGCACCGGTGTTCGAATCTCAGGCGGGTACCCATTTTTCTAATGAAATACGTACTCAACAAATGTTCACGATTGACTTCCACGGTGAAGGAATAACATCGTGTAATAAAAATTAAACCCGCAAAATTATAATTTGCGTAATTATTGGTGGCAGGACCTCTTGTGAGTCTACGCGGGTGGGTACCACCACCCTGCCTATTTCTGCCGTGAAGCAGTAATGCGTTTCGGCTTGAAGGGTGGGGCAGCCGTTGTAACTATACCGAGACCTTAGAACTTATATCTCAAAGTGGGTGGCGCATTTACGTTGTGGATGTCTATGGGCTCCAGTAACTACTTAACACCAGGTGGGCTGTGAGCTCGTCCACCCATCTAAGCAATAAAAAAATAATTAAAAAAATAATAATATTACTATACAATCTCAGATTTAGAAACAAATTACGTTACAAACAACCCCAACGTCAAAAGCTAGTGCCGACATTTCCATCGCAAAGACGAAATGAATAAATAAAAAAACAAAAACATTAATTAATTCAATTGGATGAAAGAAAGTGTTAAAATTGTTTCACTTCTCAATCAACCCTTTCAATCCACCGTTGATTTTGCAAATTAACTTTATATAGAATATTTCATAAGTCAGTTCTTTGAAGGAAAAAAGGAAAAAATGAGAAACGTCATGAAATAGGGATGGCACGTGATTCGCGAGACATCAATTTAAAAGATATATTTTTATAAATGTTACGTCCTGATTTGTATCGGGTTATGCTGTAACGAGTGAGTAGCTTAATCATTGCCCGAGCCATTGTCAAAGTCAAGTTGCACTTACTTCGAGCTACGTATAGCTTCAGTGATACAGATAAGACACTGCTGAAGCCACAAACTGCATCAGGAGAGGTCAACAGTTCAAAAATGTTCACACTAAATAAATTCAAATATTAAAATAAATTCATGTCTATCGTCAAATAAATGGATCCTGGATTGTGGAAAGTAACGTCTGCGGTTGTCCTAGTGGAGATAATAAGTCGAAGGCAAGGCGTTTTCCAGACCTTAGAACACGCTCTTCTTCGAAGGAAACTTAGAAATTGTTCTCACCGACAGGAAGCAACTTGGCTGTAGCATAGTTGATGTTCATCAGCATGCCAATCACCTCCAGACAGCCCCCGTGCTTCTTAATCTTGGAAGGTAATCACACCACACAAGTAACCACTTTTGGACACTTGTACCATGCCGTACCACTTCTAAAAAGCCAATAACTAAGCCATAGAAGGTAAGGTTTTTGAATCAGATGTACGTACAACGTCACGACATCCTTGATATAAATCATTTGAAAATTAATAAATAATGGCAACACTCGGGCCTGAATCAAACGTTAGTCCAAGTTATTTGCATAAGAAGGGGTTTTTTTTCCTTTAGCCATGTTTACTTTCAAACCCTTGAGCGGGCTTGATGTGGATAGGACTTATAAATTATTTTTTAAACAAAAAACCCTTCTTCATCTTATCTGGTACAAAACTGGTACATGTATACCAGATCGAACATAAACAAATCTGTTTTAAAAATAAAGACACTTCGCAGCCGATAAAACACCAGTGAGGGGACTCACTCTCAATGTCTTCTCAATACCATCATGTAAATTGTCACGAAGAATTGCGGTCTGAATAGCCTATTTTTGTAAAGAATTTTCCACCTCATGGTACAATGTAAGTTGAGGTATTTGTGGGCTATAGGCTCCAGAAAGCACTTAAAACTAAGAGGATTGTGAGCTAATTAACTCACAATTTGAATTTTTTTGTGGGTTTTTGAATGATTTTGTGATCAGGGTCGGTTGGCCATAAGCTTGGCCATCTTTGTTTTTTGAGCCAAGGTTTTTCCGTATTTAATGAACTTCTTATCCATGTCGATACCAACATCAACCCTTTAGCGAAGGTGGCGATCGAAGGGTGCAACAAGGAACAGATGTTTTTAATATCTAAGACGGGGTCGGATCAGTAATGTTTGTACTGCATCTCATTGTGTCGTGTGATGCGGGTTCGTATCAATATTTGTGTTGTTGAGAAACTTTTTACTTGAATTTCGAATAGTCCTTGTGTTGTCTGGTAAAATACCTCGTGCACTCCATTCCTGCACCCATGTCACTGTTAGGTCCTTGGAGACTCGATGTAGAGACGAACTCACTGCCTACCTGGTGTTAAGTGGGTAGCGGACCGAACACACATCGGGGCTAACAGTTGTGTAACGGCGATCCGCCCCTCACATCGCAGTACATGTCTCCTTCGCGGCAGAAGTAGGCAGATTATTTTATTTCTTACATTTCGACTATTTTACAGCTCTCCTGATCAGAGACGACTTATAGTCACTAGTGGTAGCACCTCTTGTGAGTCCGCGCGGGTAGGTACCACCACCATGCTTATTTCTGCCGTGAAGCAGTAATGCGTTTCGGTTTGAAGAATAAGGCTGCCGTTGTAACTATACTTGAGACTTTAGAGCTTATATCTCAAGGTGGGTGGCGCATTTACGTTGTAGATGTCTATGGGCTCCAGTAACCACTTAATACCAAGTGGGCTGTGAGCTCGTCCACCAATCTAAGCAATAAAAACAATATCTATTCAAAACCTCGGATATCATGAACTTCGACATTAAACAGTAAGAGTAGTTTTAATTATATCTACAGCTCGCGAAATATGAACAGAATACTCGATTGTATTCAATTATTTTAAATAGAAATCATGTTTACCTGATAATAAGTACTCAAGTTATGTAGTATCCGTAGACGATAAGGGACCACTCGCCGAGCAGCAAGATTCAGTTGTCTTTTTTAATTATATTGTAAGGTGAGTACGAATAGACGAAGGACTCATCGACCTCACAACACAAATGCGGCCGTCCGAATTTTAAACCTCATTCGAAATAAGGATAATTTTTTCGATCAACCATTTTCAAATTCGTTCCCATTCTATTAGACTATTATACTCAAATTTATGCTTTCCCGAAACCAGATTCGTTAATTTAAGAATAACTATTAATTTAACAATTTGTATAATGTTATTAATACGGGTTTTCTTGATAATTTCAATGGAAAACTGGTGAAAACTAAGGAAAAGCGTCGTTCAACGCCATCTGTTGACGAGCGGCGATAGGCTCGGAAAATTCTGTGGAAAACATTCTTATCTATTCCTTCCAGCCCACAATACACCCACATTGATGCTAAAGAAGAAAATGTTACGAAAATTAACAATGTAGTTGTATTACTCTGCACAAAATTTTATTAAATAACATTTTTTTGTTGTTTTTCAGGTTTTATATTTATTTTCATATCGCTATAATTAAATTACATGATTTGGTTATTTCTGAACAAGGTTTTGAACAATTAAATACTACAATAGTTGATAATTACGTTTTTTTGCCTAAATAATTAAATATATAATTTTAATGTACCCGGCATTAATTATTTTCCCTATTGACGATTTTGATTTTAAATGTCCTTGATTGTGGACTCTGATATGTTAGTTGAAGCTACATATTATCCACTTAAACAAATAAACAAATCATTAGTAATTAAAAACTTAAAAATAATCCATAATAATTATATCCGCAATTAACGTTGTCTCATCTACATTCGTATGAGTAAAGTTAATGATTCGCTTTTTATAACTACACGGTCTTCGAAAATTAACGAACTAAATCGACTTGTTTTATGTAATATTTTAATTTAAATAATATATAAGATGAAGTCAGTTATCATCGATACGTTTAAAGATTAGTCGTACCCACTAACCGAATTTCGGGCGAGAACAAAAACTGACCTACATTCTCGCCCTACGGAGTTCAGCCACCCCTGCCGCCAGCCGCCAGCCGCCAGCCGCGCTGAGACGCGCGCCCTACGCTCCTAGCTCGCCCTTTACATTCGTTCCTGCACTTACAATTGTTTTCAAGGTGACTCAACTTTATCAACACTATCGACATCCCGTCAACTACGAAACAAAATGAAACTCAACTCAATCAAAGATGCATCTACATGCCGCTGCGGGCTGGTCATCGGATACGTCGAACTCATCAAGAGACGCGACGGACTTTTATTTTCTTACAATATAATTATTAAAGCGGTCTCAGTGTAGTTTTGTGTCGATAAGCAACAGTCGAGTAAACGTAAACAAATAGTCGCCGAGCGAGAGGTGAGCGTGGCCAAGAAAAGGCCAGTCGATTACTTCGCAAAAAAAAAGCGCATCGCATTATCGACTACAACAAAAGGACTCGTGCAGTGATACCTAAGTACACATCTCGATTCATCGTCTCGACTCGATCCGCCGAACCGATCCCATTGGCGCGCCCCACTGTCGCCGGGCCAGACAGGGACGGAGCGCGAACTTGGTATGGCGCAAGACAGAGAGGCAGACGGTCATCTTAGCTGTCGAGTGGCGTCCCACTGGGCGGGGCCGCGCTAAGGAGTGAGCCTCAGATGCGCGCAGTGCCGGTGGGGTCCGGTCCAAAGGATCGCACTGCAGTCGTGTGTCGCGACTACGACGCGCGCTCGCGGCTCCGTCGCGGCTCCGACCGCCTTACGTAATAATAACTCAACCGATCGGAATCCTGTCTTCGATCATCGATCGTTACGTGTGTCGTCTCAACTGTCCGATCGACAGTCTAATCATCGATCGATTATTCGATTCAATATTTAAATCAATTTCGCCGCGAATATCCGTTTTGAGTTCGTGTGACAAGTTTATTGTTTTTGTTTCTTTGACTCGAACTTGAGAGAGTTGTATCGCACGGACCCGAGTGTGGATTTATTTAGTAATATTGATAAAACGTTTTGTCACTCTGTGCGTGTGTGTCGTTCGGCTGGAAACAAATAATATTACGAATATCTGTGATTTGTTTTGAACTAAAAAGTGATTGTGGACACAGAAAGCTTGTGTTTGTGACTTCTGACTTAGAGAACAAGTAAGTGAGAGCTTTATTCTAGGATTAGGGCTATTTGTGACGTGTAGAGTCATATCTTTCGAAACTATTAAAAACAACCCGAACGAGGCTAAGTTCGAAAACGACAAAGTTGTTTTCAAATTTCTGTAAATTTTCATAGTTTCAGTAACTTTCTCAGTCACCGCGACAAAAAACATTACAAATATATATTTTAAAACTGTGCTGTGCTTTATGGGGACATAAGAAAAAAATTCATAGTTAAACAAATTTTCATGAAATACAATATAATACAAAATTAAAAAATAATCGAAAAAAATTTGAAAACTCATTTGAAATTAAGTAAATGTAATTCACAACTTTCATAAAATTATTTTGGTTCAACGAATATTTTACATAAGTACTTAATTATATTTTGAAAGTGACCAGTGTTTTTTTTTCTTAACTTTCAATAGAAAAGCTTAGCGATAATTAATATTTGCTTAGCTTATATTCGTTAACGGAGATTAGCGCCGGGACGCGTCTTTGAGATTCCCAATAACTTTGCAACTCACATGAGATAATACTATGAAAAATATAATTTGTAAAATCACACACGCATGATAACTTTTTTGCTTGAATATCGAAATTGATAAAACTCGGATTTTTTTTTCTCAAACAAGTCACGACGAGAGTCACGGTGATCCTAAATGAACTATTGAAAGTGGAGCACAACTTTTAGAGTTTTAACAAACGTTAGGTAGGATGATGACAAACACTACATTTTAACCCCGCGCTTCTCTTGAAATATTATAATTCAAAAGGACTGAACGATGAAAGAGCTGGATTACGAAGCTACATTAAATACTTGTCTCAATTATGAGTCATGTATGTGACAAAACTGTTCGAACAAAAATTAATTACTGATCACTAAAATTTATTACAAATAGGGTTTATTATGCAATGTCCGAAAGGAATAACAGATAAATAAATTATTATGCAGGTGTGATAATCAAATGAAAGTCTAGCCGTATACGTCACTTGTGCGTAAACAGGCCCACTGTCATCAATCAGATCGTTCGCTTCACGGGCATACTAAGCCCACAAAACGTTTTTTTTTTTATCTAAGCCTTTGATTTCGCGTCTGTTGTAAGCTAGTTGTTAAAATGCCGCGTGTCGTAAAATAACAGAATCAATGACGTTATCTTTTTAAATAATTTATTTGTGAAATGTTAATTATAAAAATTGCGGATTTCTTTTAACAAAAGCATGCTAGGGTCGGTACCACAATCCTGCCCGTTCTACTGCAATAAAAATCAAAACAACCTAATATTTATAATTTTTACATTAAATTTCAGTTTGAAGAGTTTGATTTTAGATCTTTGACTTTTGGTTACCTTTGATGATCGTCTGACGTGGGTTCGCGACAGAAATAAGTAGGACACCATACCTCGTGCATATCACTAGTGCATACAATTAGGATAAGTAAAGAAGTAATTATAGTTCAATAGGAATATTGGTGAGGTAAAGTCCGGGCGGAAGTTGGGCGGCTTTTACAACATTCACATGGTGATGTCCACGGACCCTGGTAACGTTCTGCCGCTGAGACGCTGAGGTACGAGTCCGCCCGCGGATCTGAAATAATCAAATTACATTCAGAGTTCATTGAACTAACCCGCTAAATTTAATTTGTAGGCGCCGATAATTTACCAACACTCAGGATGAGGGTTTCAAATGTGTTGTTGTCCGTCCAACGCAACGTGTGCTCACGAATGCTAAATGCAAATCGGTTAGCAATGGACATTGTTAATGGTTACTAGGTGTAGCTTTTGTAATTACTTGCGAAGGCATCTATGGTGGCTCGATAGCACCATTCTGCCTATTTCTGCCGCGAAACCATCACGTGTTCCGGTTTGAAGAGTGGGACAACCGGTTTACAATACAATTGAGAGTTCGACCTCATGTCTCAAGGTGGGTTAGTTCACGTAGTAATTGACTCCGGTGAACATTTAACAACAGACTGACCGAAAGTTCTTTCGCTCGTTCAAGAACGCTTGCTGATCAATTGTTTTATTTGACACATTTCTGTCTTATGCTGTCATCAAGTTTCTTAATTGGATGTGAAACTAAATCTAATTAGAAATCTATTCAATTAGACAATTACACTACGGAAAACCTGTTTAATTACTATTTAATATTATTTAAGAAAATTGTTATTATTTTTGCGAAAATTTTAGAAAATACGACCTAAACTACGTAATTAGTGGGATATTAACAGATTTCTATATTGAGTTAGATTATTTTAATGTGTAAATCTAAAAGTTAACTCCATCAATTGGACAAAGTACGCGTGTAGGGATTGTTGTGATTCCATCTGAATCTGTGGACAAGTCTTACCGAAAAAATAAAAGCCTCATAAGCTACTTTCAAAGCTTTATCCTTATGTATAAGCGCGTGTTAAATTAGTTTCAAAGCTATCAACTGTCGTTCTAATTTTTGGTCTTGAATTAACAAAATATGAATGACTCAACTTTTTGACAATTATTTAAGTTCTAATATAAGTAGTTCAGGTTTCGTCTACAGCCTAGAGTAAAAGTAGAAAGTTGGAAATCGTTCTGGCCTAAAGACGTCCGGTGAATTCGTATCTAGCGATGCACCGGTGTTCGAATCCCGCAGGCGGGTACTAATTTTTCTAATGAAATACGTACTTAACAAATGTTCACGATTGACTTCCACGGTGAAGGAATAATATCGTGTAATAAAAATCAAACCCGCAAAATTATAATTTACGTAATTACTGATGGTAGGAACTTTTGTGAGTCCGCACGGGTAGGTACCACCGCTCTGCCTAAAGTGTATTTCTGCCGTGAAGCAGGGTTTGAAGGGTTGGGCAGCCATTGTAACTATACTAATACCTTAGAACTCATATCTCAAGGTGGGTGGCGGCATTTACGTTGTAGATGTCTATGGGCTCGGTTCACTTAACACCAACTGGGCTGTGAGATCGTCCACCTATCCAAACAATACAAAAAAGTGAGCAGACTGTATGTAGCATTGTTATGAGTTAATTATGTAAGAATCCCCTTTTCTTTCATAAAGTAAAAAAATGAAATTAATATCGGATACAACCGCTTCCCCGGGAGTTATAATTATATGATAATTGCAATTAGTGGGGCTATAATAGCACATTTAGAGCCTGCTCGGGGAGGTGCCCAGCTGTGAGCACAACCACGTTATCCTTTGCCGCTGCGAAGCCTACACTAGTTCCGATTAACAGAACTGGACCGGCATTGGTTTGCACAGTTGAATCTTGTTAACGTCCGAAGGCGGGTAGACCGTGAACTCATCAGTCTAACCAGGACGAAACACTCAAATAGATATGTAATTAAAATTTGTTTGTTTGTATTTCGGACTATTTTAATACGCTTTTATTAGCTTCAGACGTATGTATGTTTGTAACGGAATCTTTGAACATGATTTTGACCCCCTTCCATGCGTCGGATTAACCCAAAATTTGGGATACTTATTAAGGACCGATGACAATTTGTGCATGGTATCAGTGTAGTTATAATTTTTTTATGAACAGATATGAGTAGAAGGGTTATTTTGATAATATCCTGAAAAGCACCCCACGCTTTTTTTACAATAAAATCATTTTTTCTTACACTATTTTTAATTCAAATTTATTAAAAATTTATTTACTATTTTTTAGTTGGATTTTCTATAAAAGCGTATTTTGTTATATTTTTTGAACTATTATTTATTATAATTATTTTCAATACTAGAAATCTACATTATAAATGAATTCATATATCTTCATAAGTAACTCATACTAAATTTGTTTAGATAAAGTTAACTTAGAGATGTCAATATTTAAGTGACCTCGGTTTGTTCTACATCTTCAATATTAAAGGAAATCTGTTGCCCGCTTCGATTTTGCGTCTTAAATTTATATCTACGAGCTTTTTCTTATGGTTTTACTTACGTTAATTTAATTAAAAGATCTCTCCTACAGGAGTAGCACTTTCTTTGGTTGAAAGATATCCTATATCTATTGTCCGCCCTCGAGAACGTATATGCAACTTCAGAATGACGGAATTCAGAACATGTAATACGTAAACATGCAATGAACCAACTAGCTCAGTATCGCATTTATTCTCGTAATATTAAGTGCAAATTTTACGATCTATTCCATATTATTATCATTATTAGATAAGTGTGCGTAGCCCATGTCATTGTCAACTAAATTCGTAGCAATCTTCCGACCGTGGTAAAAAATTAAGGTAACGAAAGTACTTTCAGAAAAAAAATTATAATTGTTACGTGCCAAATCTTGAACCCATTCACTTTGTATTAAGAGCTCCTATAAGAACTAATAAGTATATTTCTAAATTTCATAATTTCTTATTGGAAATAGAAACTGACCTCATATCTCAATGTGGCTTGGGGTGAATAAGCTGGGATAGCTTAACAGCAGATGGGACGTAAGATGGTATATCGTTCATAGTAAGACAACATAACTTAAAGCAGTGTTTATCTAATTGTTTGTAATCCTTCGATATTGTCATCATTAAAACTGATAACTTTTATTTATTAGATAGATCAGTGGACGAGCTCACAGGCCGCTCGAACTTAACTAGTCCTCGGAGCCCGTGAGCATCACTACGTAAATGCCACAGCTCACTTTGGTAGACCTCAGTCTCAACTCTTACCCCACCCTGCACACTGGAACGTACCGCTTACTTCACGGCAGGAATGGGCAGGGCGTTAAGAAACGAGGAATTACGCAAATTATACTCGTAATTAACACGTTCAATTAAAATAAAATACCCTTTATTTATTGTCAATTTATTGAAGTATAGGTAATGTCAGTAATGTTTTTGCTTTTATATTTTTAAAGAAAAAATTACTGAATTTCTTATTTTAATCGCACTGGGATTTGTTAAGATCTCACGGGATTTTAATACGTCGCAGTATATTACTGCCGCGAATTAAAAACATATTTCTATTTGAAGCACAAGCCAGCGGTTCCAAAGCACGTTTCG